AAAAAGGTAAAGGGCCAAGGATCGAACCTTGAGGAACCCCTGAGGTTACAGAAGAAGAAGAAGAGTGCTGTCCATTAAGGACAACTTTTATACTATGATTGGAAAGGAAAGATTTAATAATCTTAAAGATGTTTCCAGATACACAGTAAAAAGAAAACTTATGGAGAAGACCAGCATGCCAAACTTTATCAAACACTTTAGTAATGTCAAGAGCAATGGCCTTAACCTCTCCACCTTTATCTAATGCGCAATAATGTGGTGTAGTTACAGACTTGCCCTTATTATTGATACTATTAAAGATTCTTCAGAAGTCACCTGAGCCTAATTTTTGATATGAAATACGAGATTTCATGATCTGAGAATAGCGGGTTTTGGCGTTAGACAAAACCTTTTTATAATGGTTCCTAGCAGAAATGGTTTGGATTGGCAATTGCAGTAGCACAATGTGAGGAAAACCATGAAGAAGAGTGAGGATTAAAGGATTAAGGATAAAGGATTCCATGATAAAGGATAAAGGATTCCATGCCAGCCTGAATCCACGAAGTTATGTAAGAATGAAGGAGAGCAATATAGAACAAAGAGAAAGGTGATAGAGTGAAGTGGTGCTAAACGAAAGCACATAAAAGAGTAGTGTGTGGATTCAAACCTAGTTTCCCGACAAATGGGTGAATTCCTACGAGTGTAAATGCCCATGCCACGCATGTGACTATTGGAGTCTTTACGAATTAAAGGAAGATAACCAATAACACTAACATCACAAGATGAGACAGCTGAACTCAAATTAGTCTCACAAAGATCAAGTAGATCTAGCGACTTTTGCAAGAGATAAAACTCAACAGAAGATAAGTTACTACAAAGACCACGAATATTAGTGAATAATAGGTAGAGTGAACTTGGTGATAACTGTAGTTTTTTGTGTTTTATAGTTTTTGTTACTTTATTCATTTTTAAATTTGTTAAAGAACTTGTCTTGACACATAGATAGTACTTAGTACACTTTTTAATAGCCCAAACAATTGGCTTATTACTATTAATAAACCCTAAGCTGTAACAAAAGGCTCAGATGTGGCCTTGGCAATGCACACCGAAAGTACAAATAGGGACACCATCCATACGCAACATGGCACTGTTATTATTTTAATATTTTACAGCTGTTGATGGAATCAGCCTCTCTGATAGCTACTACAAAGTTCGGGAAACCTGACTACCAGCTGGCCTCAGAACCATAAAACTGAGATTTAGAGCTGTACCCTCATTAGGAGATAATAGATAATAATGAGATTATAGTTGCCTAGTCATAAAAACATAAACACAAGCAAAACACATGCATTGAGTCAAAGAGATCCAGAATTCAACATCCTAAACTGGAAACAATGTATTAAAAATACATCTGCGCCAGCCTAATAGATGAAGAAGGGGTGCGAGGCTGGTCAACAGATAAAGTCTGTTTACCCCTTAAGTCTTCGCCTAGGAGGTCTTCTATAAGACAGCAGACGGATGCATTTATAATCTGCCCAAGATGAGTATTTTTTATCGAGACACCATCTCTAGTCTTTACTCAACCAAGAGCCCCAAGGCAGGGGGTGTTTTATGTCGGAGTTGACATCTCCTAACCTTTGCCTAAAAAGGCGTATCCTACAAGGCAGCAGGACATATAGCAGATTGTACTGGGTTACATGTTACTAGTAGCAGGATAAACCTGACCTGACATGTAAACCTGACCTGACAGGATAAACTTGACCTGACAACCCTAACCCTAACCCTCACCTGAAATTTACCAGATTTTCAAATATATTATCTAGTATACAACAATTTTCTACATGAAACTTAAAAGAACTTTCTAAACTTAATAAACGTTTCTAATAAACTTTTAGTTATAAAATAGATCGAAAAGAAATAAGTAAATTCTTATTTCAGCATAATATATTTTACAAAATAAAAAAAAATAAAGAAACATATCATACCTAATAAATGCTCAAAGTGTAGAGAAGAATTATCTTCACTCATTTTAATATGAAGAGTATTTCAAAAATTTGTATAGAACGAAGCTCGTTGGAGTAACTTCGGAGGGTTCTTTTCCAGAATTCAAAATAAGAATATAAACTATGTTGAACTTTAAGAAAAATCATATTTTGTTAAAAATTCAAAAACATAAACTCATAATGGGGGCTTTTGTGAAGGTTGTTATACAAAATTTAGTCGATTTTTTCATATTTTAAATGATGAATGTTATCATAGGGTGCGTTTTCTTTTTTAAAACTGATAAAGTCAAACACTTTTGTTATAACAAACAGTATATTATATACTAATATATTTTTAATAAATATTAATAATACTGATATCTTTATTAAAATTTACATATAATAAACAATTAATAATTTATAAATTTAATTTAAAATTTGTGAGTTCAACTAAGTTACATTTTGCATTATTTGTGCTCATAAAACCCCTACTGATTTCTTGTGCTCCTATACATCCTACTCGCTCCTCATGGAATTACGTTTTTACAGAAGCTTCTGTAACCTATGCTAAACATTACAAAAAATTTAGTCATTAACAAATTTATTATATTCTTGTAATTAATATTGTAATGACAAAGTTATTATATTCTTGTAATTGTATAGGAAAGAAACCTGCTTAACGCAACGTTCGATTGATTGAGAGTAGTATGGCCAGTCTGGAACAACTATAGACTTATAAAAATATTTTTTTTCTTCATGGGTTGTGAGGCTTGTGGTAAGTAGTTCGTTTATTGGTAAGTGGTAAGTGGTTCCTATATTAAATCTTTCCACTTAATTAGATTGGTCAATTTATCAGCATCAGTTTTTACACATGGAGTCATTTGGAATGAGAAACCTATTTTTTGAAATAAGCCCTATTTCAAGGTTTAATAATTTTTCAGGTAACACTTCAGATCTTATTGCTGTTACAATTCTGTATTCGTAAGCCTGATTAGCTGAAAGATCATTTAATATTTTGTCTCGCAAAACAATAAGTGGTTCACCTAAAGTTACTTTTTCAAATTTTTTTTTTGCATATTTTCATTAGAGGGACCTCAGCATATTTTATTCCAATTGAATTCTTTTTGTAAAAATATATTTCCAGAGAAGCGAGTAGGATGTATAAGAGCACAAGAAATCAGTAGGGGTTTTATGATCACAAATAATGCAAAATGTAACTTAGTTGAACTCACAAATTTTTTAATAAAATTTATAAACTATTAATTGTTTAATATATATAAATTTTAATAAAGATATCAGTATTATTAATACTTATTAAAAATGTAATAGTATTATAATACACTCTTTGTTATAACTAAAGTATTTGACTTTATTAGTTTTAGAAAAGAAAACGCACCCTACGATAACATTCACCATTTAAAATATGAAAAATCGACTAAATTTTGTAAAACAACCTTTACAAAAGCCTCCATTACGTGTTTATGTTTTTGAATTTTTAACAAAATATAATATTTTCATAAAGTTCAACATAGTTTATATTGAGTTTATCAAATAATTGAAAAGGGTTTTTTTTAACTTATATTTTTTTCTCTTTAATTATTTGTATTTTAGTTTTTTTTTCTTTGAAAAGCGTTCTCCTCCAACAAGACATATTTTATTTTTATTTATTTTTTCAGATTCAGATTCCCTACAAAATTCTTAAAAAATATGATCTCCCCTTACTTTTAAAGTTTGATAAAAACTTGAAAAAAACAACACACTTTATTGTAACATTTTTTGTCTAAAATATGAAAAAGTTGCTTGATTTTTGTAAAAATACCTTTTACAAAAACTCCTTTTCTGTATTTTTTCTGAATTTTTGAACCAAATAATCAATTTTCTTAAAATCACACTTCTCCTTGATCCTCCAGGATCACATTCTCTAAGGACAGCAATCTTCGGATTTTTTAAGAGATAATCGTCGTTCTCGATTGCTTTAACATAAGGGCGCCACAGTGTTGTGGATCTTGCTGTCAACCGCTGACTGATCTGCAACCTATTGCTGTATCTAACTAACATTCTGACTGTTTTCAACATTTGTAACGCAATTGTTCATCTTGGCCTTAATGTATGTAAATTCGTACAAGCATTTTTGCTTTTCCTCTTCCTAAAAAATTCCTAATTTTCCTAAATACCCTGATTCCTAAATGAGGCTTCATTCAACCATTCCTCAGCTTCTTCTTCTTGACTTCTATACAAGGTTCTTTCATTCCTCAGCCATTCTTCAGCTTTGCGATTTGTAATCGCTCTTGTGTTCGCTTGATGGTGCCTAAACTCTACCGTCTTTGCAACGCACTTCCTATTCTCTAGGAGCAGGATCACTTGTTTCAATCTTCCTCAGAATCTCTTCCAACTCGCGTTAAACTCCTTCATCGTGGATCCCATCCCATCCAATTGTCATCCCATCCAATTGTCAAATAAACCACTTTTCGTTTCACAAGACTGCAGATAACACGCAACCAACCGCACACCAGTAAGTGACTCACAAGTTGTCCACAAATAGAATACACCATACTTCTTAATAGTTTCTCAGGAATGTTACTCGTTTTATTTCTTTTTGACCACATCAGTTTCTCACCAACCTACTTTACTGTTACTCAAAGCACTTGCGTTTCCTCAACACCAATTTTCTCTTTACTTTTTAAATCGTACTTTTAGTAAAAATACATTTCAAAAATTTGCAGAAAAAATTAAGTTAAACTAAACATAAGAAAAAAAAAAAAAAATTAATAAAAAAGAAAATAAAAAAATAATAATAAACTGAAATTCTAAAATCATAAAAATAAAACTTAACTAAAGTAAAACTCAAAGTCTAAGAAAAGTACATGTTTATACTTTATTTTAAATGTTTATATTTTATTGCTTTCAAAATAATATTTCATATAACTTTTTTTTAATATTTTTATATATATTTATTTAACTAAAATTTATTGAAAAATATTATAACAAAAGTTTATAATAACAACTCAAACTAATAACTAAACACAATCAAGTACTCACTATCATTTACATTTACAATTTTGAGATCTTTAATGGAACCATCCGATGTCTCATGCCAAGGATTTGCAGCATAAACATAAATGTTTGAAAAAGTTTGGGGGTTTGTATTTGTAGTGCTATGAATAACACTTTCATTGATATATACTTTATATTTATATACACCATTTTGTATGATTTGTAAAACTTTTATACTTGACCACACATTCAGTGGAAGTGGATCCGTGTTTTTCCAATAATTGATATCTCCATTAACTGCAGAACAAATTTGCAACTGTCCTGATGATTCCCATATAGAAGCAATTCTTTCACCATATTGCCCATAATTGTTCCAAATGGTTAAATGAATAACATTTTTTTGATATGCTGATTTTGATCTAAGATTAAGCATGAAAGAAACAGAATATGTCTTATCTAAATATGTCAATGTTGCAAGCAAATTGTCTCTGGTTAATACACGCTCATTGACTAAAAATAAAAGTAAAATATGCAAAACATAAAAATAAATATTTTCTTTTACATTTAGCAACAACTGTATAAATAAAATATATTTTAAAAGATATAAAAATGTATATACAAAATATAGCATAATAGAATATATAGAAAAATAAAAATGAATAAGCATTCTAAAAAATTTGCTGACATTAGTTGCATATATTTTTACTTGAATTTTTTTGATCGCAACAAAAATAGATTAAAAAAGAGTGAGCACAGTGTTTTACTTATTTAAAGGTCTCAAAATCAAACTCCATATTTTCTTTTATACCAAAACACAGTGGGTTCAAGGCAGGGTTGACAAAATCCCGGGTTTTTGAGCAAAAATTCAACCCAAATGGGTTTTTCGGTGGGTTTTTGGGTAGATTATTGGTTTTTTGGGTTTTTACTTACAATGTGTACAAATTTGTTGTAACAAAGTTTAATAAATTTATAGTTATTTAAAAGTAATTTTTCATTTTTTAAGTTCTATTTTTTTATACAAAAGCTAAACTTATAATCAGATTGCATTTTTTTCTATTATAACTTTATTTTTAAACTCAGTTATCTTTTTAGTCAAATTTAAAACAGAATTGAATTAAACGTCTTTATTAGACATGAACATGTCAAAGTATTAATTAGAGGGAAGAAATTAGGCTAGTTGGTAGAGCGAAGTGACCATATTAAGTGATCAACCAAATAGAGTAATATGTAACTATTGCACAGAGAGCATAATTAAAAAAGTAGTGAGAGTTAAGATCCATTTTGATTAGTTTAGAAGTAAGAAAAAAGGAAACGCTAAGAATTCCACAGAAGTATTTAGCAAAAACAAAGAAAACAAAGAAATAATCAATATAATGAAATGTGATCTTGATAATGATTGTGCTGTTATCCTATTTTAAGATGATTGGAGTACATTTAGTAATGATTTTATAATTGCTCATAGTATCCAAGACGATACAAAGATGATATTTTTCAGAGGTTTAAGAAAACAATTGTTCCATATCATTTTCAGGCCAACTTAACAGATCCAAAATGTAAAGGTAACCATAAAATTGTAAAAAAATTAAAAACTTGCATTTGATTAAATTAAAATAAATACTAATAAATTTTTTTTTTTAAGTTCGCTACTTTTATAACTGTACCTTTTTATTTAGAAAGAACCTTGGATAGAAGTCAAGAAGAAGAAGCTGAGGAATGGCTGAGGAATGAAAGAACCTTGTATTGAAGTCAAGAAGAAGAAGCTGAGGAATGGTTGAATGAAGCCTGATTTAGGAATCAGGGTATTTAGGAAAGTTAGGAATCTTTTAGGAAGAGGAAAAGCAAAAATGCTTGTACAAATTTAAATACATTAAGGCCAAGATGAACAATTGTTGATGACTAAGTTGTTTTAACTTTGTTTTAAACCTTTAAGTTTAATATTTCTACTCCAAATAAAATCAAATCTCATTTATGATTCACTAAACTTCTTGTTTTTATAACAATTTTTGAGCAGCATCAAATCTTGAGTGTAAATGGAAATTAATTTATGAATAAATTTATTATAAATACAAAAACCCATTAATTTGGGTTAGCAAAGACCAAAAACCCATTAAGTTGGGTTTTTAGTGGGTTTTTGCTCTTGGGTTTTTGGGTGGGATTTGGGTTTGGGTTTTTGGGTACCAACCCTGGTTCAAGGTTTTTCATATGTTGAAGCCTCATTATTATAAATCTTATTTTTCTTTTATTAGAATTAGAAAAAGTGCTCAAATACATTGTTCTGTATTTAAAGCATGGGAACCTTTTGCAAAAAACTTTTCTTCTAATTTGCTTCTTGAATCTAAAGGCCTCTTACTTTCATTCTAGCAAAACAGAAATACAACTCGATTGTTAGACATCCAAAATATACTGCTTCCAATGTTACATTAATTCTCTCTTAACCTAATTGACGGTTTGTGGTCTATACAACATTTATATCATACTCTTACCAAAGTGTTGTTCAGAAATCTCTTCAATTTTAAAGACCTTTTTACTGGTTTTGATATTCTTGTTCTACAACTGACTTGTTGGCTGTTAAAATAGAAAACATTATGTGCATTAAATGAAGATGATGTAGCAAATACTATTGGACTTCTCTTTAAGCTCACTTCATACTTTTATCTGGGAAAGTTTTTGAGATTATTCAATGATCTCTTTTTAACTGCAGTACTAAAGTTGTCCTAAAAGGCCTACACTTTTCTTCATTTTCACTAACTTCTGGGTAAGCGCTAGGTTCTAATTTTCATCCTTTAATGTTTATCACCCATACCAGTGATCTTCCTATTCCTAGAGCCACTTTAGTATTTTACATCTAAAGTGGTTCTATTTACTGAAAATACAACTATATACCTCAGTCTTCATAAAAAGTCATAATCTTTTGATCAATTAGAATAAAGAGCCTATCTTGAATTGATTTCTTTTTTGTGATAGCGTGGTCTAACAGTGGCTTGTGAAATTTAACTTAAACAAAACCGCAAACAAAATTCGGTTTATTTTTAACATTTCTCGCAATACTATTGATACTCTTGTATTTATGTATAACAACATTTTCAGCGAGTCCTCTACTTCTCAGATGATCATTACTCTGGTTTCCATGAGAGGTCAGTAATGATTCATTACTGACCTCTCATGGAAACCAGATATACAATCAATTGCAAAATTAACATCTGCTAAGATTGCTTCTCTTCATTGTACTTGGTATTATTTTACTCCTGATTACATTCTCTACCTCTACAAATTTCTCACTCTTCCATACTATTGTTATATTTGAGCTAGTTTTTCTAATAATGCCTGTTTTCTTCTAGACATGGTACAAAGACTTATTTTTTGTTTATTATTGTAAATGTATTTTAACCTATTATTTCTACCATCGCATGTAGCTGATTGAGCAGGTCCAAATACATTTATTACACGTCTTGAACTGATAGAACAGATCCTCTGTTCCATTACCATAAAGTTGCATCTTTCACCGTTCTACAATTATAAGCAAAGTTGCTGTTTAAATGAGCTATTATCTCCCTAATTTTTGTTTCATCAACATTTCATCCCTTTGAATGTAAATGTTCCTTCAGGCTCTCAAAAATTGTATTCATTTGTTTATTACCTCGCATATCTTTGAAGTTCTCTTCCATTTTCATGTTTTCCTAACAATCTATATTTAACAAAATTCTTTGATTTCTGATAACTCTTTTTTTTTTTTTTTTTTTTTTTCGTTCTTTTTATTACATGTAAAATAAGCATTTCGTTACAATATTTCAAATACAAATATATAATAATAAATTTATATATAAATATAATGGTCAATATTAGAAAATCAAAGAACGCGGGGACTCGTAGAAGACCATACGGTCTTGTCGTCGAGTACCGCTAAGAAATGTTCGTGTTAAAATTTAAAAGATAACTACATGTAATTACTAACTTTTGTTAACTTATTTTTATTTTTTAATCTTGTGCACAAGAAAGAAACAAATTTTTTTTAATCTTGTGCACAAGTAAGAAACTTAAAATACTCCATAATAAATACAAGATGCGATATATATATTATATATTTAAATTATAGTTGTTAAGAATACACATATACTTTTTATAAGTTCATGTTTAAATAAATGGTAAAAATGAAGATCGCAAAAAATATCAGTAGTATATTGTTACATCATCGATTGTAAAAATGAGTTCTTTAAGCTTTTGTTTAAAAGAAAAGTAGTTACTTTGATTAATAAAATCCTCAGTAAAATTTTTTAAAACTATTTTATTCCATAAGAATGGTCCGCGATAATCAATACAAAATTTAAAAAGATTTGTTTGAAAAATGGGCTGCTTAATAAAATTATTATTGCGTAAAATGCATTCATTTTTATCTTTTGATGAATACAAATTATGGAAAGAAATCGGGGATGAATTGGTTTTACATTTAAACATAAAACAAAGAATATTAAAAATATTAATCTCATATATATTAAAAATTTTCATTTCAAATAAAAGAGGCTTGGCATGAGTATAACGGTCTTTAAAATAGATAAGACGTGCTACATGCTTCTGCTGACAATAAAGAGGTTTAAGTTTGTTTTTATTTGCACTAGCCCAAGCAATATTTGCATAGTTTATGTGGCAATGAATAAATGAGTAATATAATTGTACTAAGTTTGTTTATTTAAGACATTTCTCGTTTTGTACAACATTCCAATATTTTTTGAAATTTTACTTGATAAGTTTTTAATGTGATTTTTCCATGTAAGATTTTCATCTAAACAAACGCCTAGAAAAATAGTTACTGTTACTTTTTTAATTTGTATATTGTCAATAACAAGTGGAGGCATGTTAATTGGCAGTTTATGTTTTTTGGTAAGAGGATGGAAAAGAATCCATCTAGTTTTATCAATGTTAAGGGATAGTTTGTTTGTCTTAAACCAGTCAGATATTTTGATTAATTCAATGTTCACGTTATGAAATAAAGTAGGAATGCTTTTGTGAGACATAAATAAGTTAGTGTCATCAGCAAACATAATTGTTATTAAATTTGAGGCTTTGTATAAATCATTAATATAAATAAAGAAGAGAAGAGGTTCTAATATGGATCCTTGAGGAACTCCACATGTAGTATTTAACAAATTTGATGAAAATGATTTATCAGCATAAACAAATTGTTTACGATTAGTTAAGTAACTTTTCAACCATTTTAAAACATTGCCAATTATACCATAATATTCTAATTTTTTAATAAGAATTTTATGATCAATTGTATCTAACGCTTTCGCTAAATCAATAAATATTCCCAATGTAAATTTAGAATTGTTAAATGAGTCTGATATACTTCTTGTAAGCTGAATAATTGCATGCTCTGTTGAATTATTTTTTTTGAATCCATATTGCATGTTATATAATAATTTGTTTGTTAAAAGGTGATTGTATATTCTGTTGTACAAAATTCTTTCTAAAATTTTTGAAAAAACAGGGAGGATGGAAATTGGACGATAGTGTTTTACATTAGTTTTTTCTCCTTCTTTAAATATAGGAATAATTTTTGCCATTTTTAAATCATCAGGAAAAACTCCCTGATTAATAGAGCATTTAAAAATTTGGAAAAGTATGTCTTTTAAAACGTCAAAACAGCTTATAATGATATTTCCTAAATAACTCCTAACTAAAACTATTAGGATAACTCCTAACTTAGAATAGGCGCTATTGTGAAAATTCATTAAAACTTAATATAACAGATTTTATAAAAAAAAATTTGTTTACTTTTTCTAAATTTAATTTAATCATTTTAAATGTGCATTTTAATCATAAAAGTTTTCCTAAAATATTTTAGTTGTCAAATTTGGAGATTTTTGACCCAAAATGGCATTTCATTAAACACCTATTTTGGCATATATTTAGTTTATTCAAGATGGTCAAAAATATTTAAAAATGTACCTTTTACATTTGGAAGTGCAGTTGGTGGTAATGTCTCAAAAAAAGAACAACCTAATTTAAAAGATGTTGTTTGACCACTAAACCCATACAGACATTGACAGTCTCCATAAACATCAACTATTGCACTTGCAACATACCCATTCTGAGTTGGATTTTTTTCCTGATAATCTACACAAAATCTTACACATGAGTTCCATATAATACTGCCAACGCTAATATAACCATTATAGTAAATGGTATCCCAAGAACTTACTTTTGATAATGTGCAGTTTTTCGAAGATTTGTCTAAAATTTAGAAAATTTAACATTAGTTTACTACAATTAGAGAAAAAAAAACCTTTATATATAAAAAAAGAAGTATAAAAAAAAAAGAAAAAAAGACACCATAAACAATTTATCAAAAAAAATGTTTACCAAATAACAACTACACATAATATGGAATAAAAATTTCGTAACTAGGTACTAAGTTTATATGCTACAACCTTCAAAAGTTTTATAATAAATTATAAATGTATTTTTTTTTTTATTTCGAGCATTTTTTAAATTTGCTTGTTTATTTTATAAACATTTAAACAAAAATGGATATTGAAAATATTTTTAAATTTGCTAATATTTTTTATTTGTTGCAATCTGTAATTATTTAATATGCTAAACTTTTCATCAATTTTCTCATATTTTTAAATTTGCTGTCTTTAATTTGTTGCAATCTGCAATTATTTAATATGCAAAAATTTACATCAGTGAAATAAAAACTTTGCCTCTTTGGGTCATCATAAGTGCATTGAGGTCATAAATTTCCTAAGAGTGGTAGTTCTAAATAAAACGTTATTTTATTTCAGAGAGCAAGGCTGTATTCCAGAATATCTAAGAAACCTCTGTTAAAAAGACTAAAGCTAATGAAGAAAGGTTTTACTTTACAAAGTTAGATTAGGTTACATGACTCCTGACTCCTGAGAGTGTAGCCATATTAATCATAATTATAAGCAACTAAAACTTACCGCAACATAACTTTTTACATAAACATGAGAATGATTTAAAATTAAACAATTGTTTTATTGTTCTAACTAAATAAACTAAATAATATAGCAATAATAGTTAAAAAAAAATTGCAATTAAGAATTTTTTCTAAATGCACAAAAATTCATACCAAATTACCATAAAAAAGTTGATGCCTGATTTATGTTTTCAAAAAAAATCAAAATTGCGCTGTGTTTAACATGTATAACTTATTGGATTGCTTTACATTTATAAAATAAATACACATAAACATGTTGCCTCACAACATGCTTGTGTGTATATTTAACTCACCTCAGCAAGGCCGGGGGTAATTAAATTCATAGCAATGTACTGAACTTATTCCATTTTCTCAGTATCAATTGAGATAAGCGAGTTTAATAGCTATTAGGTGAAGAGATAGAGCACTAAATTCATAAGTAAAATTTTTTTTTCTTTTGAGCTATAAAGAGGAGAGAGGGTTGTAACAATTACTTAATAACAATAACAACAACAATAATAATTAACCTCCTCAATTGTAATGGCCCTATGACTCTAGTTGCCCCGTTGGCCTTGTGGCGTCAAATTCTTAAAACAAACAGATTGACAGTCTAGAACTTAATTTATTATGATTTTTTTATGAGATTAGTTTTTTATGAGAGAAAGTTGAGAAAACGTTCAAAAACACAATATTTAGATTAAGGCATGCCTCTCACATACAATTTTTGAATTTCAGGACAATAGTTTTTTTGAATTTCAGAATAATTTCAGGACAAAATTTAGGAGCCAATGATAACCACTGATTACTTAGTGGAGGAAAAAAGAAATTACATACTGATTTCAATAGTTCTTTAAAAATAACTCTTTGTAGTCTTTCTTTTAGCTGCTGAATGTTTAAACCAAGAATAAATATAATTTACAAAAACCTCAATATCAAACGGACAAAACTTAATTACTTTCATGAGGGCTGTATGAATAGGGTAGAGAGTATATGTTCTAATATCAATAGTGATTATTGATATTGGAACATGTATTCTCCATTCTTTTCATACACTATTGAGTAGTCGGCTCTATATTTTGTTACTGCAATGTTTAATTAAACTTCTGTAAAAACAATTTATAAACATTATGATCATACAATGGAACATTTTGAACATGAACATAACTGGTGTTTAAAATAGCAAAAAATTAAATTATAAAAGTTTTGATTGTTACTATTTTTTGCAGTTTTTCAATAAAATGTTTTTTTTTTTAATTATTGTGTTTTTCCATAAGTTTTCTCAATAGGAGAATTTCCAAGCAATAGTCTATGCAATATTTAACTTTCATTGTACTTTCATTTCAATGAAAGTACTCAGACTAAATCAAGTGAGAATCTCTTCAAGTAGTTTTCACTGAAGCACAGGCAACTGGGTCCAGGGCCATCCCGAAGACATCTCTCATGGAGGAGGGGGGGTTTCGTATGTGTTATATGCCAACTGGAGACAAAAAAAAAGGTCAAAAAAAAAGGCCAGCTGAAATGCTAAATGTAAAATATAACAGCTTTGAAGAAAGGGAAAGAGGACATCCCCTGCACCACCCTTGTTTAAGACGGCCCTGACTGGGTCATACATAAACATGTAAGTGATAGTTGTAAGTAAGATGTAAGTTGAGAGAATAAATAAACACTTAGTAGCTGAGACTTTGGACATTCCTCTTTTGTTTTCATATTAATGCAAACAAAAGAGGAATGTCAAAAGCAGTATCTTATTAAGGTATGAACAATCTTTTTAAAAAACAGGAATTTGAGGATTTTCAAGACATATGGAAGGCCTGTAAAGGTTAAACATGTTTTTTAAAATGGTACTAAACATGTTTAGAACCATTTTCAACAAAATACTGTTTAAAAAAGTAAACATGCAACAGTTTGATAAATATTATAAAAGTTATGGAATTTAAGACTACAAAAATGATTTGGAAATTCTGGCATATTTTGCCATCAGGTATTTAAACTTGTACAACTATGTGAAAGAAAGATAAACAAAATTATTTTTTTCTTAAAATGTGAGTTGTCAAAAGGGTCATTTATAAAGTAAGCTCCAAGGAGGGTAAAAAAAACAGATATCGTGATAGGAGGTGAGGGAGGCAAGGGCTTTTAAAAAATGTCACAAATTTACACAAATAATTAATCTTTAGGTTTTCTCATATATTTTGTTATTAGAGAAAAAAGAGTGTGGCACTTTTGTAGGGTAGAAGTGGGAATGTAGACATATTTGGCAGGAGCTAAATAGGAAAGGTGCAAAAGTTGACAAAAATAGCGTGACATAATTAATGGATGGCCTAAATGTTTCTTTCACGACTATTTAACTCATTATACAATCATGATAAATATTTAATGTTTGAATTAAATTAGCTTTTTTAAATTATTCATTTTAAAACAAAAAATCAACTGTAAAAATCCAAACAAGAAAATTTTAAAAATATTTTTAATAATTCTAAATTTAATAAACCTTTCTAGATTTTTAATTTTTAAATTTTTAAAACACTTTATAGAATGGTCTGTTTTTTTTTTATAATGGAGAAAAATTTACTTGTTTTAATGGGTGGATAACTTGTGTTGATATACTAATATAATTAAATGCATGTGAAACATTAGAAGTAGAGGCTCATGACCCAAGAAATTTAAATTCTTTGAAAAGAAAGTCTCCAATTAATTATCAATTTCTAAGGATTTACTTTTTTTACTGTTTTAGGGCCTGATTATATGAGGAAATTTGTCCCACTTTGCCGAGATAAAAACATCGTCTGTGAAAAAGTTTAATCTATTACATGTAAAAAAAATTCCTGTATTATTTCGCTCAAAGCTAAAATAAAATATGGCCGAAAAATCGCTAAAGATCTTAAATACAATGCTAGTTTCACTTAATTTACAGCAGATAGATCTTGCTCTTGCATATTTGATAAAACAAAGAAGATTATTTAATACTTGTCTAATATTTTCTTTACGAAAAAGAAATTTCTTACAAAAAATTATTAATGCGGTGGAGAACCGTTCAAGGCAAATGTATTATTTATGAGATTACTACGGGGCATATGGATTAAACCTTCCTGGTTTAATCCATATGCCCCGTAGCATATGGGTTAAACCAGGAAGTTCTGAAACTTTTTGGTTTAATCTGTTCAACAATGTTACTACTGAAAATAAATGGAAACTAAATTTTCGAATGTCTAAAGAACATGTGATGGAACTAGCTAATTACTTGCGACCCTTTATCAATTCTGGTAGCAATTCCCCAAACTATAGGGCACTTAGCATTGAAAAAAAAAATAGCATGCTGTTTATATTATATAAAAGATACGGGGTCTCTATGGATGACTGCTAATGCGTTTGGTATACATCAATGCACAGTGTCTAAAGTAGTATTAGAAGTTTATGAGGCCATTACATATCACCTTATACCAAAAATAATTTATCTTCCTAAAGACAAAACAGAAATAAAAAACAAAATTTTAGAAGTGGAAACAAAATTTAATATGCCCCAAGCTTTTGGTTTTATTGATGGAACTCATATTCCAATACGAAAACCTTTAGAATCTTTACAAGACTACTTTAATTACAAAGGATTTCACTCTATATCTGTTCAAGCAATTTGTGACTCAAAAGGCATTTTTATGGATGTCGAATGCAAAATGGCCTGTATCACTTCATGATGCTAAAGTGTTTTCTAATTCAACATTTAACTTAAAAATGATTTCGAACAGTATACCTATAACTTATCGAGAATTGCTGCCAGGCTTTTGCAAAGTTCCATGCTATGTTATAGGTGATCCAGCATATCCTCTTTCAACTTTATGCTTAAAAGAGTATTTGCACTGCCAAAATAACGATCAAGTAGTTTTCAATACCTTGCTTAGAACTGCAAGAAATCAAATAGAATGTGCTTTTGGTCACCTTAAAGCACGATGGGCAATACTTAAGAAAAAAATTGACCTCAAACTAGAAAATATACCCACTGTTATATATGCCTGTTCTGTTCTGCATAACTTTTGTGAGATAAAATGTATAACAGTAGACGAAGAAGTTTTCAGAAATAATATTAATGAAAATATAAACTCTGACAAAGTTGATTCTATTTATTCATCAATACTTCTCATTGCATCAGAAAATGATGCAATGAGAAGTATTGATGAGTTTGGTTTGATTCTTTTATGGCATTAACAACTTCTTTACGTAATTCTATATCTTCTTTTGCTACTTTTAATAGCAAAGCATCATATTGGTTAGCATTTAATTTTTTTAAAATATGCTTTCT